GCTATCATCCTGTTACCAACAAGGAGTTCAAAGGCATTCGCCTATCTTTCTCTCAATAAACTGATACTGATACTGATAAGACCTTAGTAGTCGTTTTCCAAAAGTTTGACTACTTTCAGTAGACTTTGTCCTACTCTGAAAATACTGGTAGGTTATGATGGCCTCTTCTTACTACGAGCTTATGACAATGGGTTAAATTAATACGGGAGGGGATAATACTGCTTACTCAGATGGCCTGTGTGGAGGCGCAGGAGGTAGTGTTTAGACCGAATAACTTTGCGTCTACTCTCCACGGTCATTTTTCTGATGGCGTCTTTTGCTAGCAAGGCCTTACTTAGTCCCCTACCCCCCTCCTTCCAGCCAAGAATTTGATCAATGATTCCGGCAAAGTGTTCACCAGCGGCTGCCTAACTCGCTATGCGATACGGCTTTTGCCTATTAGGAAGACGACAAGAATTTATCGCAGGCTGCAGGCCTGTTTCCGTGAAGAAAGAGAAGAAGTGTGATGCCAGGTCAGAGGAGTAATATATGCTGTACGGAGAAAGTGGAGAATAGGTTGGAGGATTTTGGCAGTCGGACGAGTGCGCGTCCGCAGCTGCGAGGGTCTGCGTCCGAAATGTTAGATTGCGGCATTAGTCACAGTGAGGATCCGTGTTAGCGTATCACAAGGGGTTAAGTATGCAAAACCCTAGCAATTGCGATTTTCAGGCCCATTTCCTTACGAAAAGAGAAGAATGGAGACGCCGGGTGGAAGAAATAGTTTATTCTGTACAGAAGGAAGTGGAGAATAGGCAGGAGTAAGTTGACTCTCGGAAGAGTGTAGTCCGGCTGATAGGGTGCCGGGCCCGGGGTGTCAGCGCGGGAATCGTCCGTATTTTTGTGAGTCTTTCTTGAAAGGTGATTAGCCAGACTGGCTCATGCGCACTTCTTCGCAGTCATCAGGGGTTGCGCATTGGCCTCACTTGCGATTGGTCGCCATCAGCGCAATCCTTAGCAGCGATTAGCCTTTGCGCGGAGAGAGTCACCATAAATCAGCCGCGAAAGTGACTAGTCAGACTGGACTGCGGTAGGCAGACACTGGTGCACGTGGGCTAGCAGTCACGAGAGACGAGACTTTGACCTTTTCACGCCTAATGGGATCACTACATGAGAGAGCGGCCTTTGGCCGACCTCTCCTTAGCGTGCGATGGGTAGATGAGATGGTACATAAGACAATAATTTAACATTCGATTTTTTTATTACTAATTGCTCATTACTTATTGCCGGTTGCGTGATTTAGGATTTAGATATGCAGGCCAGCATAACCTCCTGTAACCGAGGTTGCTTGCTGAAAATCAGGCGCGCTTAATAGCTGATTACTAGACTGAATTCACTGATGCGTTTTTGTTCGTCACTCGGAAAATACCAGCGACTTTATTTGTTTACGATGTGTCGCGGCCCTATTCAGAGCACTCAATGTTCGGTAATTGTCTGTGTACAGGCGTGAAAGTGTTTACGCACGCGGTATTCAGCCCATTACGCCTGATTTACGTTGATGCGTGTTGATTTACGTTCATGACTATGGTGTGAGTACGCATTAAAGCGTTTGCACATGCGGCAGGCAGTCCATCACGCTGTAGACCGCCTTTGGCCAAGCAGTTGATCAAGTGGTCAGTGACTCACTCTCACATGACTTTTATGCATTCACGCCCACACCACGTCAGCAAACACACACGCCTGCAGGCCCGGGACTGGTGCACGTCTTGAAACCACCAGTGGGTTCCTGTACACAATAACCAACTCCTACTGTTCTTACCCCTTATTTTCCTGTATGGAAATGGACACGATAATTGTAGTGTTCTGAGCACAACCACGACTTAGCCTGCTACAGACTCGTCGCTTGAGGTGCACGAAGGCTCGAAGCCAATCAATACGCGCAGTTTCATTGCTTTGTTGCAGGAGACAAAGGACACGTCCTGGAGTCGGGTAATCCCACTTCAGACTGACACAACTTGCCTGAAGACGTAACTGGTTGCTAGCGCTTGGCAGAACCCTTTGTAAAGTGCCTTTATTCGCAGTAAAGGCCTGTCCTAACCTACCCTGTCTTCCCTGAATTCTTAGTTTGTAAGTCTTCTATTTGTCGATGCAACTTCTTCGGCGATGTGTGTTCTCATCCTCCGGCCGCTGGTGTAGCGGTCAGGCATGTCTTCATCTTCTACCAACCTAACGTTAATAGCTCTCTACAGATTACAGCATCCTCCCAACCGGCACGTCCCACTTCTTATCCACTTATTGGGAGCCGTGCCTAAAGAGTGTAGCGGCTAGGGTTGTGCAAACCCGTCAATCAGCTCCAAGGTTGACTGAGACATTACTTCGCTGGAGGCGTCAGGCCGACTCCCACACACTTCGGGTGCCGCTCTCGTCACTCCGGGCGTGCCCTCTACCCGTTCCGAACTCCTTCAATCCTTTATTTAGTAGTTCTGCACAAAATAAAACATCCTCCCAATTGGTACGACCCATTTGTAATCCTCGGTGACAGTATATTATGGGCGTCAGCATATCCTTTATTTAATTTGCGTAATTGACCACTTATGTAGCAGTAGTAAATATGTTTTCTTTTACAAGTTTGGCGGCAGCTGCGTTACTCACCGCTCCTCCTACTGGGAACCGGACCTGAAGCTTGCGGCGGCTAGGGTCCTCCTACGCCCTAAGCGGCCGCACAGGCATTCACAATCATTTTAAGTCCTTTGGTTTGATGCGATTTCAAGTTATTTTTATTTCCATGACGTCAGCCTTGTCCACTTTTATGCCCTCTACCGTAACGGACAGTTTTGTACGAATTCTTGTTAGAAGCTGCTCCAACTAGATCGAGGTGTTTAGCTCACAAAAGGGCCCGCTCTTAGGCAGTGTAACTTGTCGACAGGGGCATCCGAGAGGATACGTGCCCACTCCCAGGCGTCCTTTTAAAGGCTAATCGATAAACGCCCAACATGCAATACTGCACATGTCTGCAGACCATGATTTTCTGAGACGTGTCTGCCCTTTTCCCCAACGGGCGTGCGTTTGAAGTCTCGAAACTCGCTATTTCGGCTGCCCAAACCGGCAAAATAGGGCAGGGAACAGGGAACCGTCGCGAGTAAACATGGAAGAGGACTGTCAACAGCGACAGCAGTCAAATGCCAAAAAGTCGGAAATGAGTCGAAAGAGCACCACAGTACGCTCTGAAAGGCAGTCAACCAGCAAGCAAAATAGTCAACCTCCTACGAGCCCAATGTCACGAAAGTCCTCCTCCGCCGCCAGCAGTGATTTGGACTCCAAAAGGTCCTCCAAGCTACGGCTCGAGCCAAAATCGGACAGCAACAGTCGAAAGAGCATCGCGGTACGCTCTGAAGAGCAAACAGCTAACCAGCAAAATAATCAACCTCCTACAAGCCCAATGTCCCGAAAATCCTCCTCCGCCGCCGCCAGCAGTGATGCGGGGTCCAGAAAGTCCTCCTCCAAACAGCCTCCAGCCTCCACTGCTAGCACTGATGCCGTGTCCAGAAAGTCCTCCTCCAAACAGCTTCCGGCCTCCACTGCCAGCAGTGATGCGGGCTCCAAAATGTCCTCCTCCAAACAACTTCCAGACCGCGACGAATTCAATCAGCTACGGCGCAACATCAAGGAACTGGCGGCGGAATTTGAAACGGAGAGCAAGCAAATCAAGAGTATGCTGCAGGAGTCGTTGGGTATGAGCGAGCAAGGCCAGGCGGTAAGCG